AGTGTCACTGGCCCTTATATGTGGGATCCGAACCGGGGCCCTCTGGCATCCCAAGCGAGTTCTTAACCATCGCGCCACTCGGCCGGCCCTATTTATTTTTTTACAGGGCTGCCCTTTGTTTATAATGATCAAACAGCTCCAATAATACTAGCAGCTGGGAGTTTACTCTGAGGAGCATCTGATTTATCCCTTACATAAACTCGTGAATTTATTCCTATTATCCCTATTATGTAGATGAAAAAATTGAGGCTTAAAGGGGGGGAAATGTTGCTTAAGTTCACTAGTTAGGGGTAGAGCTTGAATTTGAACTTGTGTCTAACTTTAAAGCCTCTAATCTTAATCATTGTCTTAATCTATGGTTGATTAGATCTTAGTTTGTTACCTGATCCTCACAGAAGTAAATTGTCAGAGTCACAAAAATGATGGCATCTTGTGAGGAACAGAAATAACTGATGGCAGGAGAAGCAGGTGGCGAGGAATCCAGGCTGGACTCAGCACCACTGTGCTCAGGTTTATTCTCCACTGATCAGCCTTCCTATCATTGCACTTTCATACATTGTCATTTCCAGAGGAACTTTAGAACCAGAATGTCAAAGTCCATAAAGAATCCTGTTGGGATTTTAATTGGGATTAACTTGGAGAAAATTGATAATATCATCATAATTCTCACTTACCTGAAGGGGTACTCTGTGCTTCATGTTCTTTGTAAAGATGTTTTATAAACATAATTTAATGTACCCCTTGTAGTATCCCAGCAAGTGGGTTTTATTAGTCTCATTATCCAATGAGGAAATTGAGGTATAGAGGACTTAAGAGATTTTTCCAAGGTCACTTGATTAGTAAACTGCTAAGCCAAAAATTTAATCACACTGTCTGACTCCAGCATATTGCTTCTTAACCACCATTGGATAGTTGTCTTTAAAGTGTTAATACTTTAAAGGATCAGGGTATGTTTCATCAAGAAAAAGGCTAAGTATCTCTTGTCTCTTGTTGATTGAATGTGGAAGCAGATCGCCATGATTCCCCTGATGGGAAATTGGGGACTGTGGTCACTAGAATAAGTAGGAGAACAGTAAAAAACAAAACAAAACAAAACAGGATGCTCTAACAAAGGCATGGTCTGAGGTGACCAACACTGAGGAAATGTTCAGGTGTGTGTGATTGGAAGCTCATGGCTGGGAAAGGTGGGACAGGCTGAGACCGACTTATCTACAGTTTGGATCTTATTTGAGTGTCACAGGACGTGTAGAAAAATTAGGAACCTTTGTCTTCCTTGTTTGTTTGTAGGGCAACCTACACTCTAAAGTCTGGTTTGTGAATAGAAGATCAATTATATCTCACCTTCTCTTCCTCCTAAAGAGCTTCTCTTAATCTTTCTGTTGGAAATAAAGGATTGATGAAATATATCATAGCACATCTATAGAATGGACTAGTATGTAATCATTATGCTACAGAAAATATTATTCTACGTCGAAAAGCTCACTACAAAACAAGAAGCCTGGGTGATTCCATTTTGCTTTAGAAAATTCTATATGAAGATTCTACATAAACATGTAATGTATACCAAAAGATAATAGCAGTTCATGTGATGAATTACACATGACTTTTGTCTTCTTTTTCATAATTTTCTATATTTTCCAGTTTTCTTATGATGAAAGCTATTGTGTTTGCAGACAAAGAAAAAAAAAACAAGTAACATTTGCAAAGACACACACACACACACACACACACACACACACACACACACACCAATTAAAGTGGACCATGTGGTATTTTTTGTTAAAGCTAACACAGGCTCTTTTCTCTTCCCTTATTGGTCTTAATGAAATATTATAGAAAGGCGTAGAGAGGTGGACCCCAAGGGTGGTCCTTGGACCAGCAGAATCAGCCTAGCCTGTGCCCTACCCAGATCTACAGAATCAGAACAGAGCCTAGCAGGGTCCAGCCATGTGTGTTTTGACACATCCTTCTCTGGGAGATCCTGACACTCACTGAAGTTTGAGAACCATGGGTTTAAAGGACTGTATGAATTCACTACTCTAATGATAGGTTTCTCAGAAGTATGAGTAATGACTTCTTGGGTCTATAAAGTTAGTGTGCTCGACCTACCTGCTTGGAGCTTCCTTTCCCTGGATGACCTCACATTCCTCTCCAGGAGCACAGGGGCCCAGCTCCCGGTGGTCCAGGAGCCCCTGGCTCTCATACCCCGGTCGGCAGTGACACTCTGCTTCCTTGGTCCACTCATTCTTTACACACTGGGCAAATTCACCACAGGTCAGGAATTTGCAGGGATCTGCTTGATCAGCTGTAAGAAACAGAACAGATTTTCACGAATGCATGAATGCCTGAGCAGTGGAACTGGCAAAACAAAGGCAAGAGACCAAATATATTTGCTATCACCCCACTTTGGAGTGGGTTGTACAGTAGTGATAACAGGCTGGACTGAAAAGAGAACCACACGTTTCTGTATCTTTGAAAAGTGAGTTTATAGAAACAGGTGATAACATATTTAGCTCCAAATATATAATTATACACTAACTTTGTTGTGCATGAGCATCATCTAGAGGCCTTGTTAAAATGCAGATTCCTGGCCCCATCCTCAGAGTGATGCAAGAGGTTGAGATGGGGACTGAGAATTTGTATTTCTACGGAGGTCCTAAGCGATTCTGTTGCATCTGATCTGGAGAGCACATTTTGATAATCACTTCATTAGGGAATCAAGATTTGTTTGCCTGCTAGTTATTTTTTAAGGTAAGTATTTTCTGCAGAGATGAGCTGTAAAAATATATATTTAAGATCAGGTGTACCTCATAAAATAGTAGTCATTTATGTGGACAGTTTTGAGAACTCAAGATGATTTTCTGATTTAAAAAATATCTTTCAGTCACTTGCTGATCCCTAAGGTCCTAATTTTAGAGATTCTCTCTTTTGGCTTAATTGTTTTTTCTGTATTAAAATTCAAATAGATCTCTAGTCGGTTCTCTTTTTTGGGGGTCACAAATTGTTCTCTTTTACTGTGTTCCTAGTTATGTAGGATTATCTGAAATTCTTTGTAAAGTGGATTATAAATCAAGAGAACCCCAGAATATTTGGCTCTGAAAGGCCTGTGTCTCCTGCCAGTCTTTCTCTGTCTTTACAAAGCCTGAGAGCACACTGAGCTCTCAGGCAGGGACGTGAATGGCCTGAGTCCCCACATGCGGATGACAGAACCAGAACAGGCCTCTGGTCCTGAGACCATTGCTCTCTCTGCCCTAGAAAGGTTTGCTGTTGAATCACATCAGCCATTTTTCCTACAGGTTATTCTGTCAATAAGCACCTATGATGTGCTAGCAACTAGGGAACAGCTCATGTTTAAACCGTTCTTCCAAGAAGCTTAGGGGAAGGTACAGAATACTCCTACACCAGAAAAATAGTACCTTGTCTGGCATAAGAGCCCTAAATACGAGCTCTAAATATTAGTTAGAGAAGGGATCACCTTGGAGGGGATTGTTTGAGCTGAGTATTTAAAGTGGGTCACATTTGTCTGTGCAAAGACTGCAAGAGGCATTCCGACTGGATCGAGCAGCATGGTCAGAGGCACAGAGGTGGGAAATGAACAGGTGTGAAAATGGAGCCGGGGAAGCCCGGTTTGGAGGGAGCAGAGACCAGTGGACAGAGGAAGGTAACTAAAACTGGAAAGGTAAGTTAAGGCCAAGCTCTGGTAGGTCTTGAAAGCGGTCCTAAGGAATTTGGACTTGACAGGCAGTGGGGGCCACAGTGGATTTTTGGGTGAGGGAGGGATATGACTGGATTGTGCTTTAGAAGACATGGAAATAGAATTTTCAGAATTAGGATAATTTCAGTGATAATGTGGTCCAGTATTTCCCAAGTGGAAACATTTTCAGAACTCTAATTCTGCAGGACTTAATAACTTTTATACTAAAAAGAAGTTTGGTGGTTAAGATTTTTAATTTTTTAAACGCTGGGTGACATAAATATAACAACAGGTTTCTCTCTTTCTCCCTGTCCCTCCAAACTTACCCCCTTCTCTTTTTACTTTTAAACCTCTTAAGGTCATTAATAAGCTAATATCTATCATGACTCTTCAATCGGAGAACTTAGCTGCTTTGTCAAATTTACTGACCACAGAAGCTCTGTGAATGGGTTGATGGGGGACACCTATGCGGTGAGAATTCCAGAGCCTCTATGTTCACGGACCTGATCCAGCGCCTCCTTTTGGTGGGAGAAGCGAGAGCACGGGGGCTGAGGGAGAGCAGCAAAAGAGTAGGCCCTTGAAAACAAATTTTTGGGTTTCCTAGTACGGTAGACCTGTTAAAGGTCTGTGTGAAGTTGTATTTCTCTGCAAGTTGAGGCTCCCTTATGGACAGCCAGGCCTGGCTAACGTGAACTGGCTTTTCTTCACTCAGTTCCTAAAGCCGGCCATGTTATGGAATCGTAGTCACTGTTTGGGAAATACCTCAAATTTGCCCTGATAACCCAGGTAACGGATGCCCAGGGTCTGATTTAATAAATAACAGCCGGCAGGAAATGTACATTCAGGACTTTAGTCTCAAAAACAGAAGCCAGCAGGGAACAGTCAGAGGTCCCATTTCCCTTTCTGCAGTGGAGAAATATATTTACATGGAAAGCTGACTGAATGCACAGATTCTGCCCTTCTGAACAGTAATATGAAATGTGTGATAACCAAATATGAGTTTCCCGTTCCAAAAAGGTTTCTGTTTATCATAATTTTCTTCAGCCCAGCCAGGCATGGTCTATGCACCAGTAAAGCTAAACAGAACACAATAAAGCAACATTTATCCAAATTTGGAAGCCCTGAATCGGGTATATTTGAAGAACCAATGTACCTATTTTATTGATTATTTGCTTTTCTCATGTTATTTACGTATTCAAGACCAGTCTACACATAAGAAGTAGGAGACTTCAAATCACTGAGCTTAGTTTTTGTTTGCTGTGTACCCTTCCTGGGAATTAGGACAACATTCATTCATTCATTCATTCATTCAACAAATAACAACTTGGTCCTTCAAAATCTTCAGCACTGAGAATTTCAGACCAACCAATTGCTTCAGAGTTTTATTTTATCCATATATAAGATTTTACATTTTAGATACAAATTTTAGAGCTAGAACATATTTTAGAGCCCTTCTTGACTAATTTGCTCACTTTGCAGATGAGGAAGCTGAGACTCTGAAGCTGAGTGTTGCCAAGTCCTCTAACTCTCATCCCCTCTTGTGGACTGTGCGAGAAGTTCCGGGGAAGGAAAGAACCCGGAGGAGGAGCTGTTGGACCATGGCCTCCAAAGCTAATTGGATTTAATAAGAATCATAACAGAAGAGAGCATATTTGCAACAATTTGTGTAGCAGCTCATGCTGCTTCCACTCTTACGCCTTCAGAACATTTTCCTTAGGCACATTGATGACCCTCTTTTCTTACATCTCATTTTTTGAGGGCCACCTACAGCTTTGGGCTTTAGTCAAAGACTGAGAACTGGGTGTGAGCTGATTCAGGGGAGGAAGCACCATGGAAGAAAAGAGAATGACGTTATGATGAATGGAAGTTTAACTAGTAGAAATTTCTAAGGAAGCTTTCCCTATGTTGCTATCATTTTCTTTCTTTGCCATAACCCAAAGACATTTCTCCTTAGAATGACAGACACATTCACGTTAGGCCATACAAGTATTTGCCTCTTATTTAAGACATCCCCAGGAATTTGCACCAAACAAATCAGTCTGAACTTCCCAGTCTTTGCTCTTGGTTTGGTCAATATTAATAATGTAAACATTATATAGCAACAATCTCAAATGCTCTGTTCTGAATATGGTCTGTAGCTTGGAAAGAGGAAGGACAAGAAAAACTGGAGATCAAGTCAGGAGAACAATTAGATGTCATTTTCTAGAAAAAATATTTTCAAATCATAATTAAGTTGTGTGTGGATTTGAGGAGGTGAAGTCCTCATGATTGATGTATAGACTAATTGGTCCATAATTGCTTTAGTTTCCTGGATTGGCTTTAATACCTTTTAAAAAGATTACTTTTATGGTGGGTACTATAGAAAGCTTTCTCCGTGAGCCTGTACCACACTCACCATATACTTGTATCTAGCATGGTTAGGGGTACCCTTTTCGCTTGCTATAATTGCTTGCTGGCAAAATCATTTAATTTACTGTCCTTAACCCATGTGGATAGCCCTTCTGCAGAGCAAATTTGGCAATCTCTCTGTAGAGGCAGCCTCAGGCATTAGGCCTGAGTCTCGTGGTGTTGGCGGCAGTTCATTTGTAGGTGGTGGGAAAGGTCCAGGTCCATCCTGGCATCCAGGGATCCTGGCTTACTCCTTAGCTTCTGTGTAGATTCTGCCCATAGTCAGAGCATTGCCATTCTGTTTCAGGCATTGTCCCTGACTTGACCCCAGGGATATGATCCTAACCCTTCACCAGGAGTTTCACCAGGAGCACAATGACAATTATTTGTACAGTAGTCCCCCCTTATTCGAGGGCAACCATGGAAGAGAGGCCCTCAGTGGATGCCTGCAACCGTGGGTAGCACTGAACCCTATATATACTGTTTTTTCCCTATACATACATACTTATGATAAAGTTTAATTTATAAATTAGGCACAGTAATAGATTAACAACAAAATTAATAATAAAATAGAACAACAATATACTGTAATAAAAGTTATGTGAATGTGGTCTCTCCCTCTCTCTGATAACCAGTATGATAACCAAGATGGCTACTAAGTGACTAATGGGCAGGGAACATATATAGCATGGATACAAGGGACAAAGGGATGATTCACAGCGTAGGAGGGATGGAGCCAGATGGCTCGAGATTTCATCACGCTATTCAGAAAGGTATGTAATTTAAAACATGAGTTTTTTATTTCTAGAATTTTCCATTTAATATTTTCAGACCTCAGTTCACGGTGGGTAACTGAAACCGCAGAAAGAGAAACCGTGGATAAGGGGGTATTACTGTATAAACAGGGAGCTCACATTTGTTGAAGGCCATTTTATGTTTGGTAGCGTGCTGGACATTTTAAACAATTCTTCATTAATATTCACAAAACCTTCTAAAGTAGATATTGCAGACCCCATTTTCATAGATGAGAAAATTACAGTCCATTGTAGCTAGTAAGTATGACCCATGATTAACATCTGTATATCTGTTTACAATGTTTAGTGTTTGACATCATTCTAGTGTTTATCAAATGTGGGCTTTCCAGGAGACACCTGAGGGTTCCGAGGGGCTGACAGAGGATGAAGACAGTGAGTGACAGGCCCTGCCACTGCCAGCATCTCCAC